TATATATATATATATATATATATATACACACATTCTTGCAATTTTCTTTTTAATTAATCTGAGGGCCATAGCAATTTAGATAATCACCACATTATTATGTGGCAGATCCTGATTAAAAGGACATAGCTGAATACACTAAAAGGAGGGCTGTGTTTTGGTTCAGAATTTCTTTTTTTTACAGAAGTAAGGTTTGAATAATGTAAATGGCATTTAAAATCATGTATATAGTGCTAAACAGGCTCCCACTCAGCAACATGAAGATATATAGTTCTTGAATTCATAATGTCATGAGAATATCCACTTACGATTTAAGAGTGTATTACATCTCTATTAACTCCCTTGTACTCTTCCAGTAGGAGATTTCTAAGTACTTGATAAACTATGGACTCTGAGAAACAAACTGAGGGTTCTAGAGGGGAGGGAGGTGGGGGGATGGGTTAGCCTGGTGATTTGTACTAAAGAGGGCACGTATTGAATGGAGCACTGGGTGTTATATGCAAACAATGAATCATGGAACACTACATCAAAACTAATGATGTAAAGTATGGTGATTAACATAATAAAGTAAAAAATAAGAAAAATATATATTATATATATAATATATATATGCTCAAAATTCTCTTAAAAAAGATAAAATGAATAATTCTAAACAAAAGACTTAAAAATTCAAACTTCATATATATAAAAAAAGTATTCTTCTGCTGGAGTAAAAAAAATGTTTTCTAAACCTTAAAAAAATTATATTGTTTTTGTATATTTAAAACATTTTAGCCTTGAGTATAATGATTAAAAGTTGATTTCTTCTGTCACTTGTTTTTCCCCAAATTACAACCTGATTATTAGTTTATCATTTACCTTCTTACAAAAAAGGGAACCATTTCTTATGATTTCCAACCTGTTTGCTATTTACCAGTTTCTTATAAATCTCTGACTTTAGAAATCGAGGAAAAGAATCCTCGGCCATAAGACTATAGATTAACTTCTGAGCCTCATCAAAACATTTGAGAGTTGGTTCTGCAATATTCTTTGAGATGAGGTCCCAGGTACTGAAGTCAATGTTGATCTGTGGAAATAAGTTTGCATATCATTACATTAGTTTAGTCAAGGAATACATGGTTTATACAGTTGGTAGATATACATATTATTTGAATTTTTTTTCTAAACACAAAGTCAATCTGATGCACAACAGCAGAAAAAGTCATACATTTTTTTCCTGGAATGTAGAACACGTATTTGGTTTAATTATTTTTCTTTTCTTTTTCTTTTTTTTTTTTTTTTGTGTGTGATCTTTTCATATTTTTAATGGGAGGACAGTAAAAAGATGCTCATTTGGGGAAGCAGCCAGCAGCAAACTAAGGCATGCTGGATGTGAAGAGACCAACCAGAGACTAAAAATTAACCTGGGTGGCTCAGTAGGTTAAGTGTCTGCTTTTCGCTCAGGTCATGATCCCAGGGTCCTGAGATCAAGTCCCACATTGGGCTCCCTGCTCAGAGCGGAGCCTGCTTCTCCCTCTCCCTCTGCCCCTCCCCTCGTTGGTCCTTGCTCTATCTATCTCTATCTCTCTCGTGCGCTCCCTCTCTTTCTCAAATAAATAAATAACCTCTTTAAAAAATAATTATTTTTCCTAGGTAGAGAGGGTTGGCATTGACAGAAAACAGAGGCAAAGCCTTATTTTGAGATTATAAAAAAATGGCAAAGGTGAAAAACAAGATATTTCATGATTTTAAATTTATTTTCCCATAAATACTTTTTTTCTAGTACTTTAACCCTAATACCAATAGTATATTTTCCAAAGTCAGAACAAAAACTAGAATTCAGTAGGTTGGATTATACCAACACATTCCCATTCTCTATACTTCCCCATGTTGTTTCCCACACAACATTGCTTTTTGTTCTAATTTGTATTTCTTTTTGTTTGCCAAAATAAACCAAATAACATCCCCCTCTTCACTGACTCCCATGCCTTCCACAGAATATACCTATATGTGTGTGCATGTGTGTGTGTGTATATCCTTGTCCCCAAACCACTACCATACACGAATATCCTCATCAGGGTCTAAGAGAGATCTATTACATTGGAACACACCATTCATCTGCAAATCTGTAAAATGCCCCAAACCTTGGGAAGATGCTTGTCTAACTCTATGCATATTCCAGGATATATTCTGCAAAGCAGAAAATTTCACATCCAAGTTGTCTAATTTAAATTGAAAATATTCATGAAGTGCAAAAGAGATTTGAATCTTAGAATTAAAAACTCAAGAAAGGCAGGTGCTATATCCGTCTTATTCACCCTTCTATTTTCTGGCACTTAGCAGAGTATCTGCCACATAATAGGCAATCAATAAATATTTGTTGAAGAGAATTAAAATGTCTCTTGACAAAATGGGGAAATTGTAAAAATGCCATAATTTGGGGGTCTGGTAAAAGAAAGACTATAAATGACAATTCGTGCTTATTGAATTGAGGTTAAAAGAGGCAGGCAGACCTATAATCAAGCTTTTCCTCAGCTATTTACTTGCTATTCATATGGGTGAAACAAGTTCTATAATTTCTTTTAATCTTTGATTTCCACGGTATAATAGAGAAGAGTAACAGCATCTATCTTAAAGTGTTTCAAGGACTAAATGAGATAAGTTTAATATCAAAGTATTTTAATATTATTATTCTAGGAAGAAGAGAAGAAGAAAAAACTTTTAATTAGAAAAGAATCAGAAAAAGGCCACTCTTTGTTCACAGATGTTTTCCTTCTTAAGGGATTTCAGCTACTCAGTGATCCCACATCTGCACCTTTATTTCTCTGATCATCCTCTTACGTCCTCCATCAAAGTTCCAGGCCAAATGCTACAACTCTCTGAAGGCCTCAAAATCTGGAATCAATTTCTCCTTCTTTATAAAGGAAGATGGTGGAGGGCAGTGGAAAGACTTTGGGATAATTTTCTAACCTGTGCTCTAACACTTAGCACCTTGGTGACCTGGCTTGAATTAGTTTAATATTTCTGAGCAATCCTTCCTCATCATTAAGCCAGGTAGTTCCTGACTGAGTTTTTAAAAGAATTAAAATATAATGATCCTTGCATTCATGGATTCCACAAATATTTATGATGATCTATTATGTACCAAATGCTTTCTATACTTGGGAAATGATAACCAACAACTAAATAAATAGCATTATTTTAGAAATAAACTTGAAGGATGAGAAGAAGCTGGTCCTCTAAGACTCTGGGGGAAAACATTTCTAGCAGAAAAAACAACAAATGCAAAGATGCAAGAAAGAATTCGTTATGTTCTGAAAAGCCACTATGCCTGGATGGCTGGAATATAGAGTGTGAGAAAGTTCTGTAATGAGATTTGCCTACAAGTCTTGTAGGGCTTATGTGCAGTGTAAGGAGTTCTTATTTTTCTACTAGAAGCAATAGGAAGACCCTGAAGGGTTTTTGAGGAGGGAAGTGGCATGATGATATGGTATGGACCTAGAATACTGCCTGACTTGTAGTGGGGATCAGTGAATAGTGGTTGTTGTCAAGCCCTTGCAGTTTTTTAAACATCTAGGGTAGTCTGTTTCATAACTCCTATCCTATGTTGTGGGGATATGAGAATAAATGTTGCCTGTTTTCTTCTTTAGCTGTGCCATTAATTACTAAGTGGCATCATCTGCAATTTGCTTAACTTTGTATCCCCCGTAATAGTAAATATAGCAATTTATCTCATTGAGGCATTCATTCATCGGGGGAGTATTCACTGACAGCAGGGCTGGTGTGTGCCTAGTCCATGGTTTGGCTTATTATTATTTTAATCAGAACTGAACACCTGCAATAACTCCCGATTTCCTATTTAAAAAGTCCGAAGCCTTGATTTTGGCATTCATGGCCTTTACAACAGAGTCCTAACTTACACATTTTGTTTTCTCCTCTATGTGTGCCCTGTATTTTTACCAAGCTAGACACTTCCCCTCAAGTTCCTTGTATTTTCCCACCTATGAACATCTTTTTCATACCATCCTTGTCTACCTGAAAGTCACTCCTCTCACCAAGTCTTTCACACACATCTTTGATGCCCTGAGGCTACGTTCAAGTAATATTTACCCTGTGAAGTTTACTCATGGATTCTTTCCTTTTTGGATCTGTCAAAGGATTTTGTGTTACTTAGACCATATTTACACTTTGTGCCTCCTTCTCTATGCCTTGTGCCATGTAAGGACTCAACGGATATGGACTGCATAAATAAAGTGAAAAAATGTTTCTATATTTGTTAAAAATGATGTTTAAATTTTAAAGGGAACTATTCCATTTCAACATGTACTGGTAATCAATGTTATTTATTAAAATAGATGAAGCTTGTATTTCTGACTTATCCCTCTCATTTTTCTGACTTGTCTGTTTTCCGACCAAGGAACTGCCAACATCAGCCATGATAGCTGAGTGATGAGCAGATATACTAATCCCAGGAGATAATTAGTAGTCTTATGAGGCTGTGTCTTGGCAATTCAGCTTGATGTCAGTGACAAAACATCACACCCACATGTTTGTATAAATGTCATTATTTTTCTCCAAGTTCTTCAAGCTCGAATCATAGGAAACATCTCTGACACCTCTTTTTCCTCTGATCTCTCTCTCTCCCTATTTTTTCCCTCATTTGCCTTTTATTTTGTAATTTCACAATGGCTTTTTTCATTCTCACTCCTATTTCTCCAGTTCAGCCTTTTATAATGGAATCTCTATCCCAAATCCTCAAATTTACCTCTAGTTTGATACCTCTTCTTACAATGTCTTTCCCTTCTGCACATGTGAAAGTATAACTATATCAATTTCACCAAAATATCACTTTCAGCATATGAATATTCAGCTGAAAATCCATTTTTCTTTATAACATAAACTGTAAATATCTTACCTTGGCATTTGAGCTTCCTCGCACTCAGACTTCAATGTGTTGTTTCAAAATCTTCTACTTTCCTTAGCAGTATATATAAAACTAGTCTACTCTCTGTTCCCAAAGCAAATCTTGTACCTAAAGCTTGTTTATGTTGTTTTCACCATCTAAAATCGCTTTCACCCCCACAGTTTCATTCTGTACAGATTTTCCTTATCCTTTATCATTTAGCTTAAGTTGAATATCCTCTGAGAAGCCTTCCTTGGCCACAGAAGGAAAGTCACTATAATTTCCTTATCATTACGCATTATTTTGATTTAGAAATCAACAAATTTGATTTCTTGCTTAAATAAATTTAGATACAAAGGCTGCTGCTAGCATTAATTACTCAGTCTGATTATCAGAGAAGGAAGATTTGTCACTGCAAAGGGAATTTAATAGTTCATGACATGGAATTAACTTGTTTTTAATCTGTTGTCTTTTCCCTATTTCTTTTGCTAATTCCCTTTTTCTCTGCATGCCCCTCAAATAGGAGCAAAGCAGCTATGCATTCTCTCAGTTCTATCCCAAGTCTCATCCTAGATTTTTTTCCATTGGTTACCCTGTCTGCTTCCCTGGCTAAATATCTGAACACTGGTATTATCTCTAAAATAATCATAATGATATTTAGGTATGATTATTTTAACTGAAAATAATAATTATTATTATTTATTAACTATTAGTACTGATATACTGTCTTTCTATGGTTACTTTATGTCACCTACACACAACTATATAATATACAGTATTATTATTCCCATTTTTCTGGGGAAAAAAACTAACATATATCTGAGAAAGTAGGCATTTTATTTGTAGTCATTCCTAGAATTTATTTATTTGAAATATCATATTGAGTAGATGCTTAGGAATTGTGTGAAGGATCTGAAGATACAAAGGTGATTAAACTGAAAAATTAATCAAGAAGACAGATTTTGGAAAAGTAATCCAAAGGAAAAAATAGGCTTTCTGAAGGAAATGAGATCTTAAGCAGATCTTTGAATTATTATCATGAAGAGATAGATTAAGAATGGAACTTGCACATGGGCAGGTAAACCAAAAGAAGCCCAGTGGGTTTTGAGAGGAGGAAAGGCAAGAACCTGGAAAGGAATCAAGGTACCAGGTCATGTGGGACCTTGTGTAGTTCTTGTTAAGGA